TAATTGCTTTCAAACATGGGCATCAGTTGTCTCTTTTTAAGTTTGCAGATCTAAGTTCATTTTTGATTATTAATTAAGAATCAAAAACAGCCAATGCAGTCCTAGGCTGCATCAACAGAGGGACAGCATCAAGATCACAGGAAGTTACTGTATATACCGGTAGCACTATTAAAGACTGCCCTAGTGAGGCCATACTTGAAATACTGTGTCCAATTCCATGATACAAAAAAAGGTGCTGACCCTAGAAAGAGTGCAGAGCAGAATAACAGAGATGATATGGGGTCTGGAGGTCAGATTGTATGATGAAGGGCTAAGCCTAACGAAGAGAAGGATTAGGGAATAACATGATAGCTTGAAGGGCTGTCCCAAGGAAGAGGGGATTGATTTATTCTGCATAGTACCTGAGGGCAGGACAAGAAGTATTGGGTGGAAGCTCATTAGAGGGAGATCCATCCTGGAACTAAGGAGGAACTTTCTGACAGTGAGAACAATTAATCAATGGAACAGCTTCCCTCCCCGAGTTGTGGGTGCTCCATTGCTGGAAGTGTTCAAGAAAAGATTGGACAATGATTTGTGCAGGATGGTAAAAAGTCCTGACTTGGGCAGGCAATTGGATTAGAAGATATTCAAGGTCTCTTCCAGCCCTATGATTCTATGATGCTATAAATTAAAAATAACATTTTATCAGGAAGAATATAAAATAGGATATTCCCAACTTGTTCTTCAATAGTAAAGTTGATTGGTAGTGCAAACTTTTAGGGATCTGATTTCCTAAATGGATAATTCAACAGACATTGTCCAAGTACATTTTACGAAGGCATGAACTGACCAGGAGTGTGAATTTTGTAAAAACTAAAGCGTAAACATGAATCTGGTGTTTATTTCTTCAATGTAGTAATTGCCAGGTGGTTTGCAATCAGAGTACTTGTTTTCAGGAATTGCTGAGCATTGCTGAATCCTTGTCAAACATTTTAAAGCCACTCTGGAGTAAAGTAAATTAGTCTTGTGGGCCATAAAATATGCTGATTTTTAAAAAAGAAATTCTCAGATTATTTTCCTAGTATTCCCTAACTCAGTCTTTATTTTACTGGATTAACTATTCTTTATTATTTAAATACATTCATTGAAGGAAGGAAGATCAATTTTGAGAGAAACCATTATAGTTTTATCAACAGGGGTTACAAATCAATTTACTGGGAGTTGTCAGGCACCAATCTCTCCAGTAAACAGGTAAAACTAAAGCAGAAAAGGAAAAAAATGTACCAACCACATCAATGAATTAGCTATATTCACTGTTCTAAATGGTGCTACCTCTCATCCTGCTAGAATCCAGTCTGTATCTGACAGGAATATGATCGCCATCATAACTATCCACTGGTGGGGAAAACCTGTCCACTTTGAAAAAAAAAGTCCAGTTGCCTTTTGAAAAAGCACCTTTGGGACAGTCCATCTAAGCCAATCTTTCCACTTAGTGCCTTACTTTTCCATATGTATTTGAATAAGCTGGCTGAAAATTCAATAATTATTGTCCTAAACCATTTCCAGAATATCTGGTGGGGACACTGTTTTGGAATTAGGTATGGGGGGGGGGAGAGAAGATGCATGTCTGTTAAAACAATGATTGTCATATATATATGTATATGTATATTTGTTTTCGTAGATTTTCACGGGTACAGGTATGTGGGTCTAGGTATGTTCGGGTCTTTTCCCGTGTAAAATTAAGAGTATCTTGGCGATGTTTTGGCACAAAGCCGAAAGCACCAGCCTGAGGATGGCGAGTGGGACATTGCTGAAACGTCGCCAAGATACTCTTAATCTTACACGGGAAAAGACCCGAACATACCTAGACTTACGTATATGTGTGTGTTGTGGCTCCGGGCTTGGATTCAGCTCCTGAGATTGATATGAGTTCAAGTGAAGAGATTACGTCAGAACAATTTGAACCAGCCTGGCTTACTGATTGGACTGATAACCAGGATGAGGAGGTGGACGTGACAAAGGACGACAGACCTGATGTATTAGAATTGTCAGGACCTTTGATCTCCTCTGGTTCTTTATCTGATCAACAGCCGGGAATGGCTGACAGGGAAGTTTTGAGAGAGTCTTCTAGTGGAGATGAGAACTTGGAAAATTTGTGGTTAAATGTAAAAAATAGAAGACGGTTGAAAAGGCAAAATCAGCTGAAGCAAATGAGAAGAGCAAGTCAGTAAATTAGCACGTTGCCTTAATGAGTATAAAAGGACACAGCTGGGCTGGCGCATTTTCGCCAGGAACAAAATGATTATTTGAGTGAGGACGTTACAGCAAAGAGCTCTGAGGTTGAGGATTTATTGCCAGGACTGGTTTGCCGGACAGAGTAAGATTTATGCTGTGGTTTCTGCCAGCCGTTATTTATTAAGACTTCTTTCCGTTTGATTTAATTGTGAAGCGACTGCTTTTTGTTTTGTTCGTTTGAATTTCGAAGGGGAGTCATAACATGTGTGTGTGTGTGTGTGTGTATATATATATATGTATATGTATATGTATGTTATGTCTCCCCTTTAAATGCAGGAGGGCAAAACGAAACAAGCAGTTCCAAAAAATCACAAACCAAAAAGCAAACTCTCACAAAAGGACTGCAGAAGTATTTTCAGTCCTCAGCAATAAATCCAAACTCTGTCCGGCAAACCTGACGTGGCTATAAATCCCAAAGCCTCAAAGAGTTCTCTCCGTGTGTTCACTCCCATAAATCACTTTGCTTCTGGCAAAGCTCGCCAGCCAAGCCGTTTCCTTTTATCCTCTATGAGGGCGGGTTAATCTCCTTAATTAGTCACTGGCTCGACGCCTCCTCCCTAATTGAGATTGACGCCTCATCCTTCGTCTGTTTCTCACATCTAACCAGGATCTTTCCAAAGACTCCTCCCCACTAGAAAACTCTCGCAAGTGTTCCTGGTTAGCTATTCCCAGCTGTTGCTGAGCCAGAGGAGAAGAATCAGAGGAGGTCGAAGGTCCTGACATCTCTATTAAATCAGGTTCATCTCTCCTAGTTAAATCCATGTCCTCATCCTGACTACAATCCAAATCGCTCAGCAGTGCCGGCTCATAATTCACTGCCATTTCCTCTTCACTTGAGCTCACATCTGCTAATGGAACAGAGTCCAACTCCGGAGTCACAACATATGTATATGTATATGTAATGAAGAAAAAACCATTCTGGCACAGCAGTAGGTTAGCACCAAATTTAAAATAGAAACGGTTGTGAAAGTCTGACTCACAGACGAACACAATACAGAAGCTTGATGATGGCAGATGAGATTCTGCCGAAATGTTGCTACAACTTTAAAAGCACAACTATAATGACATGGGAAAATACCCGAACAAAGCTGAATACCCCATATATATATATATATATATATATATATATATATATATATACATACACACACATACACACACACACACACACACACACACTGCTCAAAAAAATAAAGGGAACACAAAAATAAGACATCCTAGATCTGAATGAATGAAATATTCTTATTAAATTCTTTGTTCATTACATAGTTGAATGTGCTGACAACCCATGGAGGTTACACTCAACCCAAGACTTACGCTCAAAATTAAAGTGCAAAAAAACACTACAGGCTGATCCAACTTTGATGTAATGTTCTTAAAACACGTCAAAATGAGTCTCAGTAGTGTGTGTGGCCTCCATGTGCCTGTATGACCTCCCTATAATGCCTGCGCATGCTCCTGATGAGGTGGCGGATGGTCTCCTGAGGGATTTCCTCCCACACCTGGACTAAAGCATCCCCCAACTCCTGGACAGTCTGTGGTGGATGGAGCTAGACATGATGTCCCAGATGTGCTCAATTGGATTCAGAGCTAGGGAACGGGCGGGCATAGCATCAATGCCTTCATCTTGCAGGAACTGCTGACACACTCCAGCCACATGAGGTCTAGCATTGTCTTGCATTAGGAGGAACCCAGGGCCAACCACACCAGCATATGGTCTCACAAGGGGTCTGAGGATCTCATCTCGGTACCTAATGGCAGTCAGGCTACCTCTGGTGAGCACATGGAGGGCTGTGCGGCCCCCTAAAGAAATGCCACCCCACCTCTTTACTGACCCACTGCCAAATCGGTCATGCTGGAGGATGTTGCAGGCAGCAGAATGTTCTCCACAGCATCTCCAGACCTTATCACGTCTGTCACATGTGCTCGGTGTGAACCTGCTTTCATCTGTGAAGAGTACAGGGTGCCAGTGGCGAATTTGCCAATTTTGATGTTCTCTGGCAAATGCCAAACGTCCTGCACGGTGTTGGGCTGTAAGCACAACCCCCACCTGTGGACGTCGGACCCTCATACCACCCTCATGGAGTCTGCTTCTGACCGTTTGAGCAGCCACATGCACATTTGTGGCCCACTGGAGGTCATTTTGCAGGGCTCTGGCAGTGCTCCTCCTGTCCCTCCTTGCACAAAGGCGCAGGTAGCCGTCCTGATGCTGGGTTGTTGCCCTCCTATGGCCTCCTCCACGTCTCCTGATGTACTGGCCTGTTTCCTGGTAGCGCCTCCATGCTCTGGACACTACACTGACAGACACAGCAACCCTTCTTGCCACAGCTCGCATTGATGTGCCATCCTGGATGAGCCGCACTACCTAAGCCACTTGTGTGGGTTGTAGACTCTGTCTCATGCTACCAGTAGAGTGAAAGCACCGCCAGCATTCAAAAGTGACCAAACCATCAGCCAGAAAGCATAGGAACTGAGAAGTGGTCTGTGGTCACTACCTGCAGAACCACTCCTTTATTGGGGATGTCTTGCTAACTGCCTATGCTTTCCACCTGTTGTCTATTCCATTTGTACAACAGCATGTGAAATTGATTGTCAATCAGTGTTGCTACCTAAGTGGACAGTTTGATTTCACAGAAGTGTGATTGACTTGGAGTTACATTATGTTAAGTGTTCCCTTTATTTTTTTGAGCAGTGTATATACATACATACATACATGCAATTATTACCTTAGCTCCTGATCTTCTTCAAAAATTTCTTTACATTCTTCATATACTTCTGGTATAGACAAAGAATGACTAGTCTGAGAAGCTTGGGTTAACCTTTCTAGATCACGTTCTCTTGTCAAATGCATTTTCTCTCTAGCATTCTTCTTTGGCTTAGAAATGCCTTCCTCCTTATTTTCTTCTTTTGAGAGAGAGGGGAAAATAACATTAATAAACAGTAATACATAAGAAACAGAGCAAATTGTTTAGTACTTACCAAATTAAAATGAATGTCCTATTGATTGAATTACAAATATTATATAGCAATAGCATGTAGAGAACAAAATACTGGACTAACAAGGATCTTAGCTTAATCCAGTATAATTATTCTTCAATTATTATGTACATATATATGAGAGTGGGAAAGAAAGTACTGTGTGTGTCTGAGTGAATACATTATTATGTATGGACTGGTCAGCAATATCCTTTTTTTCCTATGGAAGCTAAATTTAAAAGGACTTTGACATGCTATGCATGTCATCTGAACTGCAAGATGGATGGCTAAATAAATAAATATTTTGGCCATCAGTATTGTCTTGTATTTCAAAGTGGGTTGACTTCCAAGTAATGATACATCAGATTGCAGAGTAACTAACTCATTGTTTACAGAAAATAATCTGTTTCAAGAGTATTCAAGAAATGGAGAAAACAACTATAGGTTAGGATACATTGCAAATTAACACTTTTTAGTTGTGATATAGAAGAGTGAATGATCCAATAAAATTAGATTAGGCAATACAACAATACCCACTGTTTAACATTGCGGGTGTATTTTTAAAATCATGCTACCCTTCAACAACTACAATAACAATCTTCATCATTGAAATCTTTTGAAAAAGATTGAACTGGATTTTCATCACTGGATTTATTCACTGAATGATTATGAATTCAGCTGTCAATTGCTGGACATAGATAAAATTGTAAAATTTTTATATTACAACTATTAGTTTTACTACTTAAACATTTTAAAAAGTGCATGTGGCTGTAGTACTGAAAACATACAAAAATGGGAAAGTGAACAAATATGAAATTAAAATGCAATAAAATGTATGGTTTGAACACATTCACAGTTCACAAATGTGACATGATTTTTCTACTCTATTTAAAATGTTAAACCACATATACACATATACAAACACACATTACTGGAATATAGAAGCATAAAGAAAAAACAATTATATCTTTAAGCAAAGCAGACTTGTAGTGAAAAAATATCTATACTTAGCAGAGAGATACTTGACTGCCTAATTATAGATTCAAACTCATTTTCTGGATTTCCATATATTTAGCTTAGCATGTTGGGTGAACTCAACCATTGTGATTTATCAAATCATAAATTATGACTTGTAGAAGTGGACAACCTCTATCCTATATGTGCATCATTCTTACTGCAACTCAGAATGCTTTGATGTTAAAGATTTTTTCCCCAATACTCAATACCTTAATATTTAATCTGAACTGTTTTTCCTAGTGCTTAAACTGAAGGATATAGGAAGCTACCGTATATTGTAGCACCCAATCAGATATTAAAGATTTTAAGAAGATATAAATAAAATAATATATATATATATATATATTAATATTTCTATTACCTGAAATTTGAGTCTTTCTTCTTTTACTCATTTTGAGGAGGCTTGGTAAATTGAAAAGGAAGTTTGAGCAGAGGTGACAGATTTCTGTTTTTAAAAAAACCGCATTATATCACATTTCATGATATTTTGAAAGCTGAAGCTGAAACATCTTGTTTTAAGATATAACATTTTTTATGCTTCAATGTTAAAGTTTGAGCAAAACAATTCTGATATGACACTTTTCTATTTAAAACTGAAATTAATCCTCTTAGCTTACTTTTTTTTCCTGAGAGAGTGAAGAAGCTAAAATAGGAATAGCCACCAGAGCCACCCCCACCCTGATAAATGAAAGTAAGACTTTCTGCTGGTCCAAATTGTTTATCAGCTTAATGGGACCTACTATATTTTCTGGAAAAAATGTGAAACATCTAAAACATATGCATGTTTCCTTCAAATACTTGGTTCATTCTTTAAAATGTCCATTGTTTGTAGAGTAGTTGGCTTATCAGAGGCATTATGTAAATATCAGTAGCACTTATATACCGCTTCACAGTTCTTTTATAGCCCTCTCTGTTTAGAGTTCAGCATATTGCCCCCAACAATTAGGGTCTTAAGGACTCCTAATATAATAAAACTGATGATGCAGTGAAAAATATGTGGCTAGAAGCCTATTGATGTAGATGAGGTAATTAGATGTGGACTGAAATGTTGAAGATTTTTTTTATTTTTATTTTTTCTCCACATAAAACCACCCGTAGTAGAAAGTCACCTTATCCTATCAGGGAACACTTGTTCCCATTCTTTGCTTTTATTCACATAAATATATTCCCAGTTACGTAATTTTTAAAAAGTTTTCTATTCAAGAATAACATTTATGTTCGCTTAAGAAAGCATCTTTTTAAAGTTTGTTAACATTCATCTCATCAATTATTATTAAAGTAAGATTGGTCTTTAGAACCAGTATATTTGAAAATGACTGTATTAGACTGTTGTTATGTGTTTGGGATATTATGTGGAGACAGAGTTTGTTTCTTGAAAGACAAGGAATCCAAAAATTACACTCCATGCAAGGACATTTGCCAAGGAGCATTTATAAATTATTATTACCCGCGTAACTGATCCCACAGCTGCTTAAACCGACAAAGGCTTTTCCCGCCAAACCAAAGCATGCCCCTTTTTTCCAACAGCGCTCTTCATTTAGCCGTGGCTCCTCCTATTCTATAAGCAGGCATCTTCAATCTTGACCAGTTTAAGACTTGTGGACTTTAACTCCCAGAATTCCTCAAAAGCTGGCTATAAACCCCCCGATAGAAATCCTGCCCATTCCACTTAGATCAGCGGGAAGATAAACGTAGAAAACTCAAGAGTTGTGCACCGTCTCATTTGCGGTGCTACTTCAGGGATCTTCTGAGTAACAACACTTTTTATATGCCTGCGGACGCTCAGACCTAATTATTACGAATTGTCCTGCTTTCTTCAGCGGGACAAATACATTATTCTTAGAAAACTTTCGGTAAGAATTGCCCCACTCCGTTTCAACCAGTTCATTTGAAAGACGGAAGCATCAAATTTTAAGCTCTTTTCACCGCTGGATATTTCTCATCGGCTTCTCGGCCTCAGGGTGATGGCGAGACTAAATTAATGATAGGGAGAATGATGTTTCTGTGCCCAGACTTCCCAATCGGAATAATATTCAACACCCGGCCCTCTTTAATAAGGGCATTTAATAATGTGCGATTATTTTTCCCCCAGCTTGCAGCAGAAAACAGTTAAAAGGCAACATCTCAATTTTCAGACATAATCTAGTTCAGGAGGGTCTCCAACCTTGGCAAGTTTAAGCCTGGAGGACTTCAACTCCCAGAATTCCCCAGCCAGCTGGCTGGGGAATTCTGGGAGTTGAAGTCCTCCAGGCTTAAACTTGCCAAGGTTGGAAGCCCCTGATTTAGTTCGTTCCGCTGCATCAAGCTTAAATTTGGAACTCATGCCGCAGCTGCTTGGTCCTTAATTGTGCCATTTTTAAAGCGTTGAGCAACCTATTGCTGCCAAATGACTGCAGTGACGATACTCCCAGGGTTCTTTGTTTCGGTTTGAACGCTCTCAAACGCGAAAAAATCCCGCAGCTGCATTAAAGAGAAAAAGGGACTAAGGTCCCGGACGACTCCTAATTAAGCAAAAGGTAGGAGGTACCGTAAAGGAGGAAGGGACATTGCTGTGACGATCAAGGCAAGGGAGCCGTAAAGCCAAGCGCGGTGTCGCGGGAGACCTCAGGAGAGAAAGCGGGAAGTAAGTGCCTTTTAATACAAAAAGGGGGGAAAGGAGTGACATGGCCCCCTGTTGCATTACATGTTGCGGGCGTGGCGGGGGGGGGGGCGAGAAATAGCTGCATGAAAGCTTGGGGTGGGGAGGAAGCAGGGAACCCGCAAATCAAGACAATCCTGTTAAACCTGGATATTCACTTCCGTGTTATTTATGCAAGTGTCCTGTAAGCCAGAACGGTATTGTGATTCCTATATTACGGAAAGAGAAAATCGGAGTTTCCATTGAAGAATTAGGGGTAATGTAGTTCTTGTCCCGATAAGCTGTCAATACAAACGGAATTCGGTGGGCCTTTTCCTGTTTAACATTAATGTGGGCTGACCCACAAGGACAAAAATGCCATACATAGGTAGCAAGGCGATTCCTATTAAATGCTAATTTGTTATTTTTAAATTTATAGTTGTACAATTTATTCTACAGTTTTTAGCATAGACTGTTTAAGGGGAATAAGAGGTTGGAAAGATGGTCTCATAGAAACAGGTTTCCTGGAAAGTCTTTCTGGAATCTATTTGTAAGGATGGTAGGGACATTGAGTTTGGTGATGTATATTGACAGTGATCCTCTTCCAGAGCAAAACCAAGAAAAGAAATCTAAAGGAGAACATTCTGAAATAAAGGACTGTCTTTTATAGTAAAGGACATATTATGATTTATTACACAGTGTTCATAAGTGTTAAAATTGATACTCTACACAGGTCAGATCAGATATTCTTATAAATAAACTTGCATGGATTTCAACAGCATTTAGACAAAAAATGTGGGAGATATTGGGGTGTGGTGGCAAGAAGCAGGTGCTTCTTGATTTAAAACATGTTACAATCATTATAGATGGCAACATCTAGGCATGCTTGGTTGTTTCTGAAAAAGCTAAGAAAGTTGTACTTGGTCAGTACTAGGATGGGATAACATCAGGAACTATGATCTCTAAACTGAGATAAGAAAATTGGAAGAGAGGAATGGCAAAACACTTCTGTGCTGTTGCCAAGAAAGCTGCATGGATCTGTCTATTTACAGCACGAATTGGAAGTTAGACTCAGCTCAAAGCAGTCTTGATACTTCATTTTACAAGGTATTAACTTAAATGTCTCCTGCTCTATGAAGCCTATGTGGAGAAGGAAGTGAGGGCTGACAAGAGAAAGGGAGATGAGATGGATGATGGGAACGTGAGAAATTGAGACGAGCTTACGGAAGGCTTTCTAAATA